TATTAAAGTTAGATTGAATTCCATACGTACTTCCGTTCACAGAGAATTGGTGACTTCCAGAAATGTAAGGAAGAAGTGAACTCTACAGTCCTTCAAAAGCAATCTGGATAAGTTCAAGGGAACTGAGAAGATCTCAAGTTATAGAGGAAAGGGAAGGATATCTGCAATTTGTTTTTATAACGGATGGACCTAGAGCTTGTTCGTTCTTGTAGGAAATCAGAACAATTTTTGAGAGCATTTTTGGCCCAAAGTTTTCACTTTTCTTTACTTCCTACTATGTAATGTTTAAGCTATATGTTGATTTTAGCTGATTGTGCCAGTAAGACCGTTAAAACATGAAATAGTATCCTTTATTTCTGATTGTCACTAAAAAAATGATATCCTTTAAAAACATCACCAGTTTCTGTGGATATTCGAACAATAGTCTTTCCTTACCTTTTTCCATTGAGAAATAATTTGCACGTTAGTGTTGCTATGCTGAGTTATGTTGATATTTCTGGCAAAAATCAGTACGGTAGGCCACTCCCTGCATGAACCCTGTGGCATTCCATTCATAGAATAATTTCGTTTCATATCATATAGATAATAGGGAATTGGCTCAAAAAGGGCTGGACTGATTTCTATATATTTCTGGATACAAAGTGTTCATGAACAATACAGAAAGAAAGAAAAGAGCAGATTATTGCAGTGCTGGAGAGAGAGAATTCCCTAAAACATAATCAATTTGGCTGATCAATAGGGATTTCAGTCTGTTATTGAGTGTATTGCAAAAATATAATGGATCAGATTTGCAGAGAAATTATAGAGTGAGAAAGAACTATTGGGTAGTGATAATGAGGAGCTTCAGTTATCCTAGCAGAAACGAGAAGAAGCTGTTACATAATAAGTACTGATGGGGAAGATTATTCAGAAAAATGTTGTATTTCCAGCTCAATAAGGAAGCCGGTATTGCTGGATTTAGTTCTAGGGAATGAGGTCAGCTAGATTCTTAATGCAACATGTAGGGAACAGTATCATAATGTGAAAAAGAACAGGAGCTATTTGGTGTAAAGATACTCCATGGATGTTGCCAAACCTCCTGAGTATTGCCAACATTTTCCACTTTTATTCCACAAAACATTGTGTATTAAAGAGGTCAGGTTCATAATACAATTGTAAACTGGCCTTAATGCTGAAAGTCCAAAGTGCAAGTGAAAAGGGTAATAAAAAGGGCAACGAGATGCTCTGAGAAGAAACAGCCAACCAAAATGAGAAGGTAATTCAAAAGTCTTCAATCAGCATACACTTAATCAAAGAGTAGCAAAAGGAGAGGGTAGGCCAATGAAGGGTGCATGAGAGGCTTAGCAAAGAGACAAAGTATGTAGCTGAGGTATGAAATGAGCATTTCTCATTTGTCTTTATCAAGGAAGGAGATGCTGCGAAAGTCATAGGTAAAAGAGAAGCTGGTTGAAATACTTGATTGACTAAACGTTGTAAGAGGAACAAAAACAGAAGTTGCTGGAAATGCTCAGCAGGTCTGGCAGCATCTGTGAAGAAAAAAATCAGAGTTAACGTTTCGGGTCTGATGACCCTTCCTCATAAGACAGGAGGTGTTAGAAAGGCTGGCTCCTCTTAAAGATGATAAATCAAGAGGACCAGTTTGGGTGCACTGAAAGATACTGATAGAAGGAAAAGTGGAAGAATGGGCCATAATCTTCCAATTCTCCTTTGTCACAGGAGTGGTGCCAGGGCAACAGAAATTGCAACGAGATGCAAAATCCAGTTTACTGCAACCTCGTCAGTTTAACATTGGTTGCAGAAAGGTTTTTAGAAATTTTAATTCTGAACAAAGTTAATGATCATTGGGCAAAATGGATTAATTAAGAAAGCCAGCATGGATTTATGAAATAAAAACCAAATGAACTGCAGATGCTGTTAAGTCAGGAACAAAAACAAAGTTGCTGGAAAAGCTCAGCAGGTCTGGCAGCATCTGTGAAAGAGAAAACAGAGTTAATGTTTCAGGTCCAATGACCCTTCCTCAAAATTGGGATCAGTTCTGAGGAAGGATCACCGGACCTAAACCGTTAACTCTGTTTTCTCTTTCACCGATGCTGCCAGACCTGCTGAGCTTTTCCAGCAACTTTGTTTTTGTTGCATGGATTTATGAAGGGCGGATTGTGTTTAACTACTAGTACAAAATAAATATACTGCAGATTCTGGAAATTTGAAATAAAAACAAAAGTGTTGGAAATACACAGCAAGTAAGACAGCATCTGTGAAGAGAAACAAATATGGTATTTCAAACCGATCAGTCTACATGACAACCCTGTCAATCATCAATCTGAAACATTAAGTCTAGGCTGAATTTTTTGTTTTTTCACCTAACTCCAAGTTTTTTAGAAAGCCTAGCCCATTACCCTGTCTTACCAATCTCGCCTCAACAATTACCTACCCTAACCATATGGCTTCACTCATGCCTAATTTCTTACCATCTCAACAACTCACCACTCAGCGGATATCTGCCAAAACATTAGTATCCATTGTATCTGTATCATCTTTAAAAGCCCATTGTGCATGTGAGTAAGCACTGGCATTCCAAAGATGCCCTGCTTGAGTAAGGATGGCATTTGAACATGTCAGAAAAGGTTGATTGTCTGTCTGGCGATTGCACATTCTCCCCGTGTCTGCGTGCATTTCCTCTTAGTGCTCCACAGTCCAAAGATGTGCAGGTTAGGTGGATTGGCCATGCTAAATTGCAGTGGTCAAGTGGGGAGGTGTCCTCTTCCCATGGACTGGCATAGGAGGCTGTGCCACCAGACCCTGCCAGCCTGATTTGAGGTTGCCATTTGGGTCAGTGAGATCTCCAAGGTGCAGAGAAATGGCCAGCAATACAGAAGGAAGGTCTCTGCTCTGTCCGGATAAGTGTCACAATCTTCTCTCTTCCACCTCATACTCACTCCTGCACTAACAGCCGTGCCACCAGCTGCTACCTCACTCGATGTCCCCTCTCCTATTGCTCTCATTACAGGAGAGGACTGTAACGAGTAGAGATATCTGAGTAGAGATACCTCACTATGAGCACAGAATCCTGGCATTGGCAGGAGAAGACCAGTACCGCTCCTGTAGGCATAGTCAAACATCTATGTTTTATCAAAAAGTAAGTAACACAGTGCATTCCACTGCAATTCTTATATTAATGCTGCTGCCCTTAACTTACTGTGCCAGGACCCTCTGATTGACTGGTATCCCTCCATATTCTTTGTGAGGATGACTCTCCTAGTGCGTTTGACATACCTGTTTGCTTGCTGCACATGCAGTGTGTTTGCTATGTAAGCTGCTGTCATTTGGAGCAGGTATGAGTCTGTTATAGCACACGGTCGTTCTACAAAATATACACTGCCTATACTGAGAACCGGTTTACAGCGAGTCAAACTGCCAATTTCTGTGACAGCGCTAAAAGGTACAGCAAGGCAACGCAGGTACCTTCTACATGGTTTGATCTTCAAAAGGGGTGGTGCAGTGGTTAGCACTGCTGCCTCACAGCGCCAGGGACCTGGATTCAATTTCAACCCATGGACGACTGTGTGGAGTTGCACATTCTCCCCGTGTCCGCGTGGGGCTTCCACACGACGCTCCGGTTTCCTCCCACACTCCATAGATGTGCCGGCTGTGGCGGATTGGCCATGCTTAATTGTTCATAGTGTCCAGAGATGTGCAGGTTGGATGGATTAGCCATGGGAAATAGAGGATTATAAGAATAGGGTGGGGGGGTAAGTCTGAGTGGGATGCTGTTCAGAGAGTCGGTGTGGACTTGTTGGGCTGAATGGCCTGTTGGCACACTCCAGGGATTCTGTAAAGGATGCTGAGAGTATGCAGTGGGTGCTAAGAGAGCAGCGAGCAGTCCTGAAATACAGCTGAGTCCAGTCCAGTCTGTGAGCTGGTTGCCTGTGTGAATGTGCAGTATGTCTTCACAGCAGTTTTTCAATGCGAGTTGCTAGTGCATCCTGCTATGCTGGCCTGTGCTTCCAGAGCGCACTCTCAGTGCACATGCAAAGTGTCAGGATGGTCATGTTGCGTTAGTAGATGCCAGACACCAGTATCCATTTACATGTACATGCATATCTGTCAATTATGACCTGAGCTACAGTTTGTTTGAAGCCAATGTGGAGGTTATTCGGAACAAACAGTGAGCTGAATCCACCAGATCACATTTTCCTGAATTTTACTTGTTTGGTGAGTTTGGCAAGATTAGGAGCTGAATATTAATGAGGTGAATTGTGCCATTAACAAGGCATTTAACAAGCATTAATTCTGATCAATAGGTGTCTCACCACTGCCTACTGAGAGCCTTGCCACTCTGCTTGTGGAAAGCATAAAAGATGGAGTGAGATGATCTCAACATCGATTTGGGCCTCACTGCATTTGTCACCCAATTTTGCCACACGTTGTTCAGACTCCTATAAAATTCTGTCTTCTGTTTCTCTTCACAGATGCTGCCTGACCTGCTGCATTGTTCAAAGCATTTTCTGTCTTTTTCATGTTTAACTAACCTACTTTATTATCGATAAGGTAACAAAGAGCTTTCCTGGGAGTAATGCGTTAAATCTGAACCATATGGCCTTCCAGAAAGCAATTCATAAAGTACCATACAATATGCTGCTGAAATAAAGCCTATTCAAGCAAAAATCTCAAAAACAAGCTTTGAACATATGCAGCTTTAGAGTGCTGAATTATATGTGGAAAGATTTGAAAAACACACTTTATTCTTTTTTCATTAAACAAATGACCATCTTAAAAATGATCCTGCATATTTCTACTTTGATTCAGTTGCAAAATCCGTAATGTTTCCACAATTAAAATTATATACCAATTTTCTTCAATAAGTCAAACATTGATATTCAGCCTAATGGATATATCTATCATGTGTAGGTATATATGTTGCATAACATGTACATTCTACAAAAAGCTATTTTACTGTCAGTTAATATTGCTATAGCACATTATTAGAACTTCACTCTTACCGTTGTCAAGGTATATTCTTCTAGCTTCACTTCATCAAAAGGCCTATTTGCTTTCTTCAGTAAATCTCGTAGAAAGCTCTGTGAAGGGAGATGACAGCAACACATTACAGTAATAATTTTTAAAATTTGTTCATGGGATGTGGAAATCTCTGACTAGGCCAGCATGAATTGTCCATATCTATTTGCTCTGGAGAAGCTGATGGTGAGCTGCAGTCCTTGAGGTGTAGTACTGGTTGGAAAGGGCTTTCAGGATATTGACCCGAGAGCAGTGAAGGGATGGTGCTGTAGTTCCAAATTAGGATGGTGTGTGGCTTGCAGGGAAATTTGCAGGTTGTGACATTCCCACGCATCAGTTGCTTTTGTCTTTCCAGGTGATATATATTTCGGTTTTGGAAAATGCTGCCGACAGACTTTGATGAGTTACTGCGGGGCATCCTGTAGACAGTACACACTGCTGCAATTGGATATCAGTAACAAAGGGTGTTAATGTTGAAGAAGATGGTATTATAATCCCAGCTGATGTTCACACTGGCCATGTGAGATCTCAGAGCGAATCTTGGCCTGGTAGGAAACTAACTTTGTTTTTGTTCACTGGTTCTCATCAGACCAAGTCTATCACTATGTCTTTTAGTGGTGTTTCTGAGCCACTACTGGTGATGAACATTGAAATCTCCCACCTGGAGTACTTCCCACTCTCAATGCTGAATTTAAATTACGCTCCTAGAGATGGGAGCATGTGGTATTCAGCAGGAAATGTCCTTGTGCATGTTTAACCTAATATCCCAGGTGTGACATTGTGATCTCATTGACTGTGTCTAATGTCAATCACAAGTATACTGAGGTCTATTTTTCTGTATAAATATGACTCGAAGTAAAAATTCTTTATCATTCCGTTCTGAACTATAAACAATAAAATCAAAACCTTGTGTTATGATGTTGGATCTCAATCCTAAACTACTTATAAACATAGTTTTGATTCCAAATTACGTTGTTTCTAAAAGGAAGACTGCGACAGAAAAATTGTTGATTTAAACTTAGTGACTAAAACCAAAAGAACTGCAGATGCTGTAAATCATTGCTGGACCAGCTCAGCAGGTCTGGCAGCATCTGTGAAGAGAAAACAGTTAACGTTTCGGGTCTGGTGACCCTCAGAACTGTTTTGAGGAAGGGTCACCAGACCCGAAACGTTAAGTTTGATTTCTCTT